AGTGTGCTCTGTGGCGGACCCGGAAGTGGACTGGAAGTGCTTCTGGTCCTCTTCCGGGTCTGCTGCCGAGCACACTGGGGAGCCTCCTGCGCTTCTGTGGGACACTCCGTGCACCCCAGCATCACAGCATTCACAAGCCCCTGCTACCTAGAGGTATGTAGAAAAAACGTTTAAAGCTGTCTCTGTCTCAATCACCAAGCCTTTCCAAATCTCTCCAAATTGATTCAGAGGGTTCTGATTCGATTTGGAGAGATTAAAGGGTCCTCTTATTCGATTCACATTGGGTCGAATCTCTGCAAAATCAAATCGGGGACCGAAGCTTCGCACAGCCCTACTATAAATCTGCCCAATGACTTGGATCTCTGTCAGTGGAGAAATCTTCATATTGCCTACTTTTTCTTCCTCCACTTTTCCACTGTGATTTCCAAAATAATTGATAAAGCCCAGGTGCTAGATTTTCTCCACAGTAGAGTCTGTTTTATCAAAACAGAGCTGTAGTGCTTTGCTTTAAAGAAAACCTTCCCTTTCAATTTAAGCTGCGTGTTTTTAAGTCCTCTTGTTTTTTTACAACTCCCTACAGAATATTATCCAAACTGTGAGGTGGTGTTCATGGGGATGGCAAATATCCATTCTATCCGGAAAAGCTTTCAGTCATTGCGTTTGCTCTGCACACAGATGCCAGACCCAGGAAAGTAAGTGGACATTTAGTTTTTTCTCTCTGTTAATTGTATTTTTGTGCTTATTCTTGTTCTGCTATTTTCCAACCTAAATCAGGCAGGTATCTGTTCTTCCACAGCCCTCTCTGTGTAAATATGTTGCAATTACATTTTTCATTTGATGGGGTGCAAGCAAAAGGAAGTTCCTAGCTCATTAGCTCTGACGTGGGTATAAAAAATGAGAAAGGGTGTCAAAACTATACCTTAGGTTTTAATACCAGCATGTATTATTGGCTTCCAAGTACCAATCTCACCGGCTCATCAAGATGCTATCTTCTGTCCAGCAATGCCTAGCAGTATCATTATTCCTTGAAAGGCACTAGTGCCTCTTCATAAACTTCCCATCTGCATAGTATCCTAATTGTGAAGAAACAGCCCACCATTTCCTTTGGGGTAAATGGTGTCCAATAACCCAGAGCCATACTTGAGGAGGTTTTTGAACTTGGGACTTCCCCAGAACAGCAGAGCATCCCACTCTTCTTTTTCCTGATATTGAATTTTTTGCTACAAGTCTCTCACATTCATTAAGTAGGCTGGATCCCTTTATTTCTTGTAAATTTGTAAGAACATTAACAGAATGATTTAAGTGAAAAGTACACTCAAGGGAACTACTCAGTTTAGTTTATTATAAAATGAACTTAATTATAATTACTCTTTGATTTGGTAAATCTGAAGATTTACATTAGGAGACATAAAAGGAGCAAAAACTCTTCTCTGTATATTTTTTCTAGTTGGCTGTCAGCACTGGAAAGTACTAAATGGCTGCAGCACTTGTCTGTGCTTCTGAAATCTGCTCTATTGGTAGTACATGCTGTGGACAGAGATCAGAGGCCTGTCTTGGTGCACTGTTCAGATGGCTGGGATCGAACACCTCAGATAGTGGCACTGGCCAAATTGCTGCTGGATCCATATTACCGGACCATTGAGGTTTGTAAACCACCAGTTGGTGCATGGAGGGAAAATTGAGTTTGGGATTAATGTAAAAGTCTGAAAATTAGTGGCTTTATGTATTTCTGTATTAGAAAAAGTGCTAAAGTGTTTAGCTGCAATAGATGGACGCTGCTGGGTGATATGGTAGGGGAGCTGAAGAAGGAATTTAAAAGAAAAGTGTTTGAAAGAAAACACAGTTAACTCTGAAATTAAATCTCTCATACTATTGACACAAAGGTAGCATTGTTTCCCATAAGGAGTCCGAGGTTTTGTCCTGAAAAGGTGTTACATTTGGACTAAGAGAAAAAATTAAAAGGCCTTTATCTACACTTTGTATTCTGCAGGGCTTCCAGGTGCTAGTGGAGATGGAGTGGCTTGATTTCGGCCACAAGTTTGCAGATCGCTGTGGCCATGGTGAGAATTCGGATGACCTAAATGAACGCTGCCCGGTGTTTTTACAGTGGTTGGACTGCGTCCATCAGCTCCAGAGGCAGTTTCCTTGCTCTTTCGAGTTTAACGAAGCATTCCTTGTGAGTTGTGGCTTGTGAGATTGCTGTTTTATAGAATACTTATGGACAAACCAATAGACAGAGCTAACACACTGAAAAGCCCCAAGGGGTTTCTGATTTTCCCATCCATCTTATTTCATGTTACTGTTTGATAAGCAGATGTGAAAATTGTCAAATCCTATATGGCAAACAAAAACACTTGTATACCTCATGATATTTGAGAGCCGTTCACTCCTATAGGAGGGTTGGGTTTTAAGGGCTTTCTTTAAACTTCAAATAAATAAAGAAATCACATGGTGTAATTCAGGTAAGAAGTGTTGAAATAAGTATCCTGGTTTCCCATATCCACAGAACAGGGACAGAATAAGTAGTGGCAGTGTAAACTTGCCAGGTACTTCTTTGCTCATGGTTTTCCATCCTGACATGGAGGGGATCCCTCTAAGAGCAAGGAGGGAATAAACTTTTATTCTCGATCAGTTTTTGGCTTCTCTGCTGAAACTGTATTTATTTATTTATTCCATTTATATGCTGCCCTTCCCAGCAAGGCTAGGGGTGGAAACTAGCAACAAGAGAGGGATTCACACATTTAGAATAGCATCCCTCAGTTTTGGGCCCAAGAGCAACAATACTGCACTAGTAGCATACTATGGGAAACATCATGCTCTCCCTGTCAACCCCAGTTTTATCTTTTACATTTCCTGTGGCTTCAGTCAGCTTCAGAGGGAAACCTTTTGATTTCCCTCAAACAGTGTGGACAGTGGTTTTCCCACTAGCCATAGATTCTGGACCATAGGTATCTGGAAGTAGTTGGATTATTAATGTCCTTCTGAAGGCCATGAGGCAGGTTATGTGGTAATTGTCAGTCACTAGCTGTATGCTTGGATAGGAATTGGCAATCAAAAAGGGTCCTGTAGTATTTCGCTGATCCCTGGAGTGATCAATTCTGCATCCTGCTCCTCTTAGGGCTAAATTCCCTAACTCTGTAAAACATCTAAACATGTTTAACTTTAATACATGAACAGTCGTGTTGAAAATAATTGGAACTATTCATATACTTAATTCTAAACCCATGCTTAAGTGGTTTTCTAGGTTGGGGCTACTGTATGAACAAACTACTATCTGCCGAATTGCATAGATCTCTCAAACTATGCAATTTGTATATGAAGGCCCAAAATGGAGGAAGAATGCATTATGCTTTTACTGTCTTGTACTTAGCTTTCTGAGAAGGCATGCAGAAATGCTAAATATATTTATCTAATATCCTTCACATAAGGCTTTGTGTGCATAGTCTCATATGAATGAAAAATGAAATGCTTCTTAAGCATGAAAATGAATCTTTCATATACACCATGCCTGCTGCCACGTGACTCTATCTGTATTGGTCTATACAGGTCAAATTGGTGCAGCACACCTATTCTTGCCTCTTTGGTACATTCCTGTGCAACAATGCGAAGGAGAGAGGAGAAAAACACACTCAGGAACGGACTTGTTCTGTTTGGTCTCTGCTGCGGGCAGCAAACAAAGCCTTCAAAAACCTGCTTTACTCCTCCCAGTCAGAATCTGTATGTATCATTCATTTCACATCATATGTGGGGAAGTCTCTGTCTAATGTACTGTCTAAGACACCATTGTTTATCTGCTGGAACGGCCTCAGCTTATCTGATGGGAAGTGCTATATAACAAGCTTATGTATGAATAACCTTAGTTTAACCCCTACCACACCAGGCATTCCCACACACCCAAAAAAGCCATGTTGCATTGTCTTCAGCTGACCGTTGGGATATATCAAATATAGCCACAATAATACCCCTATGTTGGGTATATACTATCTGTAACTGAATACTTTTCACTATTCCTTGTAATGGAAAATAGTTTTATATTTGATTGGATATGGCTTCCAGGAGATCTCAATCATAGTTTTACAGTGGCAGAGTTTCACAGAATAATTCAATCTCCTAAAAATTTTTGTCAAAAGTGTGTCTTAAATCTAACCAAAAAAATGTAATGGAAGCCTTTTTAAATGTCTGTATCACTCACTGTATTCAGATCTTCAAATTAACTTTCCTTTTTTAGGCCCTGAGGTGGAGAGAAACAGTTGCCGTGTGGGGGGGGGGCAGGCACCACAGAGACTAGAGAGCAGAGAAAGGTAGTTAGCTATATTAGTCTGAAATCAGGCAGAAGGCAGTCCAAAGTGACCTTTTATAGACTGACTAATTCAGAGAAACATAAGCTTTTCTAAGCAACATTTGACATATGATGCTCTGACAAAAGATACAGAACGAATAGGACCACACTAGAGGCGATAAATATTTTTCTAAATTGTAAGTGAAAGGATTTAAATTAAAGGCTCACCAGAAAGGCAGTGGGGGCAGGAGGTTTCATATGATAAATGGTAAGTATTCCTTAATATTAAGCAAAAAACCTACCAGGCTAAAAACTTGTTGAAAGCTTAGGGCAGAATTGTCTTTCTTTTTGTACACTTAAATGGCAGTTCTTCATGTAAATAGCATTTTTGGCATTTAGACATGGGTTGCAATTGTTCCCCCTGCATTATAGGCACAGAAGAATGCATACACTAGGCATGAGCATTTAGCTATGTAGTAGCCAGGCAAGTACACAGCTATGCATGTACCTGCAGCCCAGCAGGGGAGGAGGGCCTTCCCACATCATAGTGATAGTAGCTGGTTAAGGCACTTGCACACAAAGTGGAAGGCTAGGGTTCTAAGCTCCCTTCATCAAGAGAGGTTTTAGAACCCGTACCTTTCTGAATTCCTACCATAGTGCTGCAGCCACAGCCCAAGTATTTTTCACTCCGCACCTTTAGTGCTCCTTTTCAATCTGTGCTACTGCCCATTGTCTTTAAAAAATGTTGACTAGAAAGAATGGAGAGCAGTGCAAAAGCAAAGAGTCCAGGGTAGAGCCTAGATGGTGCCCTTCCTTTCCAGAGCAGCATCCATCTTGCTAAGCCACACACCCTATACCTTTCCCATTCCTGGCTCCTCATATCTTCCTCTCCGGGCTGCCTAATGGGCCAGCTTCAGCAGAGAGCTAGAGAGAGTACTGGATAACATTAAGCCTGTGTTGGAGTGGTTTGTGTCCTATGCTGGGAGATCAGATGGATGCAGCTTCACACCTCCTTTAGGCAAGGGCAGGTCCTGGAAACATTCAGTTACTGAACTAAAACATGAGCAAGTTTGCGGTATCTACCACCCAGTAATAGATATCTTGCATTATCTGCCACCCAGTAGTTATGAGTTTCTAGCTGGCTACAGTTTCACACCATAGACATGCTTATGTGTCCAAACTGGGTACATATACATAGCCACATATGCATAACCCATTGTGCTTCCCCAGTCTACATAGTTTGCTTATGCACCTGCAATGTAAAGGTAATAAAATTGCAATCTGTGTTTAAGTGCCAAGAACATAATTTACACTGCTAGAAGACTGTCGTTCAGATGTGTAAAGGGAACAGAACTCTGCCTTTACTGTCTTGATCACTTTCCTGATTAATTGACCTGTTCAGAAAAGTGCTTGAGCACATGCTTCATTTTTCACAAGTGAGTAGTCTTACTGAAGTCAAGTTCATCTTTGCTGAATTAGAGCATGTACCAAGAGATTATTAGTTGAAGAGGTTTAGATGAACTCAAGTGACATGGTGTCAAACACAATGGGCTTGTCTACACATGCATTAATGTGCTATAGCTATGGTGCCTTAAGTTTTGTACCTGTAATAACAGGTAAAAATGTAATGGACACATCTACACATGCCCCTATGGTGCCATTGTTGCTGCGCCATCATTTAGTACTTCTTTTTGGAGGTGCTAAATGATGGCTCACTAACACCCCATACTGCACCGTGCGAGCAGCACACAGTTATTTTTAGTTGTTACATTGCCTTAGCAACGTGCTGTAGCAAGGGAGTGTGTTGCTACGGCTGTATAGTGGTGGCATCATGGTTTTTGCCTGTGGACACTATGTGGTTGCTATAGTTACTACAAGGTTGCCATGGTAGCCCGTGGTTGCTATGGCGATATTGCATCAAGTGTATACGCGCCCAATGTACAGTAACCAGAGATACTGTGCAGTAACATCAACACATGCCTTTTTAGTGACACTAATGTGCAGTAGACTAATTCTACTGCGCATTAGCATGACTTTTGCTATGATGTGCTAATAATACGCAGTAGAGTTAGTCTACTGCACATTTAGCATCTCATGTAGACACGCCCAATGAAGAAGAAGTCTCTGAGGTAACTAACAACTCAACTGCACCCAGAGCAAAAATGAAACCAGTGCAGATCATGGAGCACAGATGGGAGGTACCCTCTTTCCTAACATTAAGACTCATAATAACTAAAGAGTGCCTCAGAGAGTTTTAAATAAATTTGAATGATTTTTTTTGTCAGGCCCTGGCAGAGTTTCATAGATTGTAAGGCCGGAAGGGACCTTGGAAGATCATCAGGTCCAGCCCCCCTACACCAAGCAGGAAAGATAACTGGGGGTCAGGTGACTCCAGCAAGGTGACTCTAGTCTCCTCTTAAAGATTTCCAGGGTAGGTGATTGCACCACCTCTGGAGGGAGCTTATTCCACAGTCTGGACACCCTGACTGTGAAGAAGTTTTTCCTAATGTTGAGCCTGAATTGGTCTTCCAGGAGTTTGTGGCCATTACTCCTAGTTTTCCCCTCAGGTGCCCTGGTGAACAGTTGCTCACTGAGTCTTTGATGTACTCCCTTAGTGTAGTGGTAAGCTGCTATCAGGTCCCCTCTCAGCCTTCTTTTCTTCAGGCTGAAGAGTTCATCCCTGAGTCTTAAAGAAAGTGGCTGTAGAAATCTCAGAGGCACTGGCAATAATATTTGCAAAGCCCTGGGAGAAAGGCAAAGTCCCAGAGATTGGGAGAAAACCAACATAAAAGCAGTCTTTAAAAATGGGGAAAAGACCAATCTGATGAATTTTGCCTTGACTTCAATACCTGAGAAGTTACTAAAGCAAATTATAAAATAGTCAGTGGCTGCATCCACACAAGCCATTAACACACAGCCATAAACTGAGGAGCTTTAACTCCATGCCTGACTAATCAGTCTCTTTTTATGACCAGGTTACAAAACGCCTGGACGCAGGAGTAGGGGTAGATGTCATATACTTAGACTTCAGGAAGACCTTCGATACGGTATCCCACCCCATACTGGTGAACAAGTTAAGAGGCTGTGACTTAGATGACTACACGGTCTGGTGGGTGGCGAATTGGCTGGAGGGTCGCACCCAGAGAGTCGTAGTGGATGGGTCGGTTTCGACCTGGAAGGGTGTGGGCAGTGGAGTCCCGCAGGGCTCGGTCCTTGGACCGATACTCTTCAATGTCTTCATCAGCGACTTGGACGAGGGAGTGAAGTGTACTCTGTCCAAGTTTGCAGGTGACACAAAGCTATGGGGAGAAGTGGACACGCCGGAGGGCAGGGAACAGCTGCAAGCAGACCTGGACAGGTTGGACAAGTGGGCAGAAAAGAACAGAATGCAGTTCAACAAGGAGAAGTGCAAAGTGCTGCACCTAGGAAGGAAAAATGTCCAGCATACCTACTGCCTAGGAAATGACCTGCTTGGTGGCTCGGAAGCGGAAAGGGATCTTGGAGTCCTAGTGGACTCCAAGATGAACATGAGTCAGCAGTGTGACGAAGCCATCAGAAAAGCTAATGGCACTTTATCGTGCATCAGCAGATGCATGACGAATAGATCCAAGGAGGTGATACTTCCCCTCTATCGGGCGCTGGTCAGACCGCAGTTGGAGTACTGCATGCAATTCTGAGCACCGCACTTCAAGAAGGATGCGGATAACCTGGAGAGGGTCCAGAGAAGGGCCACTCGTATGGTTAAGGGCTTGCAGTCCAAGCCCTACGAGGAGAGACTAGAGAACCTGGACCTTTTCAGCCTCTGCAAGAGAAGGTTGAGAGGCGACCTTGTGGCTGCCT